TACTGTTTTGATCATATTCAGATATCAAATTAATTAATTTCTGTGCAAAAAGCTTATTTTCACCCACAAAACTGAAATAACTTAAAACAAACAGAGAAGGCATAGCATGTTCTACAAATTACATCTTTGAAGACCAGAGTTAAGACATACTGAGTTTCATTTCAGTTCTCATTTCCACGTCTTTTCCCACAAGAACTGGGGAAGAGTTAGCCCAGGTTCTCTGCGGGGTAAAAGAAAAAAGGGAAAAAAACGCTAATATGAGGAGGTTGCAATCCCTTATAGGAAAGATTAGTTTAAACAGGGCAGAAGCTTTAAAAATTAAGCCAAGGACAAAATTGTTTTCTGGACAGCTAGTGAGGACAGTGAAACTGCATACTACTTTAAACTACCTCAAATACAAGAGAGTCACAGCATGTAGTGCAGGCACCTTCAAATAAAAGTTACCAGTCACAGGTTGTCAAGAGAGTCCTTATGATCTCAAGAGGTATTAAGAGAATAGTTAATGCTGTAGAAAGCTGGTTAGTGTGGTTAAAAAGAACTTCTACAGTAAATGATTGCTAACAGTGATTTATCTTCTGAAGGCCGGTTCTGTAGGAATGCATTCAGGTATGCTTAGAGTAAGAACTCCTGCTTTGAGTACTTGGAAAGAGTTAGGAGAATTTACTTCCTCCAGTGCATCTGTCTAATGCTATTAAGCTGATCATTAAAAAACAAGACTCAGATTAAAGATTTTCCACCCCTTTCACCAGAGGACTCTTGACTCTACAGCAAAATAAAGCAGCTTGACAGATGCAACTAAAACTAGAAGAGGCAAAATGAAATACAAAGCCTTTGCTGCAGAACAAAAAAAACCTTTGTCTAATCACATGATTGACAAGATAAAGATGGAGGAAGCCCATGAACCTTTCTGGTGAACCAGATGAGCAGAAAAAAAAAAACATTTATTAGAAAAATACCAAAACGTCATTTTGACACACAGAAAGAAAAGCTAATACGTAGTCAGAGTTTAGATGTGTTCTCTTCATGCAGTGCACCTAACACAAACATTAGATTTGGCTGCTATGTTTTCAAATATGTTTACTCAGCAAGAAAAGATTACCTGAATTATTTAGCCAATGCAAAAGGAGACTCAAAGTCTTTTATAAAAAGCAATTGTATGGGACAGACAATATTTCAAAAATAGTTGGACTTCATTACAGCATTTTACCAGTATAGCCAGAATACTACAGCATTATGAGGGGAACTTGAGATGAAGAATAAATTCTCAGTCTAACTGTAACAACTGTAGCTGTTTCGCACTCACTTGAGGCATTTTGATTAAAAGAAAGCTGTATGATTTTTGCTCCAAAGACTGCTGTATCTTAAGAATATGTGTTAGTAGCAAAAAAACATGCAAGCCACTAGGAAGGTTTTAGAATTAGCTTTTATGAGCAAGCCACACAGCAGTCTCAGCATCTCGTTGAGCAGCAAAATACAGATGTAAGTAATGCTGATGTTACAAAGCCTGGGATCCTAAAAAAAAAAGTAACTTTCATGCCACCCACGAACATGGCCAACAGTTATTCTTCAATGCCTAACCTAATACCCAAGACATTCCAGTGCATCTTTTGTTTTGCTCATCTTTAGACTTTGCTCCTATAAGCAAGAACTGTCTTCGTTGCATACCTTGCACAGCATGGAGCACACTGTCGGTGCTTAAATACAGCAGAACATGAACACAATGGCATTTTCTTATCAAAAGTTGCAGGATACAAACCTCCAGGAAGATATGATTCACTTGCTGTGTCATCCCCATCATCTCCATCTTCATCATCACGACTCAACAAATTATTTACAGCAAGGTTTACATCCAGATTTGTTCGCTGGAGCTCCCGAATAATAATACTTCTGGATTTTCCTTGTAAAACCACTTGCGCCTGTAAGAGCAGAGTATAATTGGTTACTAGTCATTCTCAGCTCACCAACCACCATTCATAAGAAAAGAATGCTTAATTCTAAAAGAAGTCTAATGAAAACCAAAAGTCAATCACAGTACGTGCAAAGGCTCACATAGATTTTTCACTTCTAGATAGTGAAAGATAAATTCTAGATAGATAAAGAAGCCAGATAGTCAAACTTCTCTCAGTTCAAATCAGGCCACTGAATTCTAACTTTGGTGCAGAATTTCCTAATGGAATATTAGAATCTACTTCTTGAAATGCTTAACGCTGTACTTAAAGGATGTGGAAAATCTGTTTCTGAGAATGTTCTATATGTTTCTAGAAAAGTGTTTAAACTTACTATGTCAATCAACAGGGTTTTGCAAACAAATGTTGTTCCAAAACTACACTTTAATCCGTGTCTTTTTGACACTGGTTTCTCTTTCCACTGCCCTTGAATATGTAACCACTTTACATCCTCTGTTTTTCTCATCATTCTGTTTCTAAAGGCTTATCTTCAGCAGTTTCTGCAACATTTAGATTTTTATTAGCAATGCAGAAGAAAAGCTTCCAAATGTTAAACAGATGCAATGAATTTACAAAAGCCAGAAGCATTCTGGTCTATTCCAGTAACCCTAGGACTCAGAGTACTTTTGTTTTTCCACACAGACTACCCTCTACTGAATGGCAGAGAAGATGACAGAGTTCTGGAAGATCACAAACTGTGTGAAGAAGGTAAGAAACCAGTACCAAATGTTTTCATAACACAGTAAAAATGAGGCACCAAATAAAATGGTCTGTTGACAAGGAAAAAAAGAAATGGACATTTTAACAGCATACAAAGGTAAACTTTTTGTCATAACATTCTATGCCGGAAGTTTACAGATTTTCGATACATAGTAGAATCTATGTTACAGAGACCAGCTGTGAAGATCTTTCCCACTAGTCTGCTTTAGAGTTATCCCAAAAATGTTTTAGACACCTTCTGTTTTAAAGGTAGACAAAGTATGGGTTTTTTTTTAAAAAAAAAAGCAATAAATCACAGCAAGGGAAGCAAAGTTACAAATTAACCAACAACCATACATTAGATTATAGAATGGAACCATCTGAACCAGGGGGTATTAGTCTGTTTTTCTATTTCATCTAAGGTATCAACGATGTCAGTAAACACTCTCAAGAAAACATGGAGGTGAACAATGAAGTCCAAAAACCCCCACCACTCCACAACTGGAAGACCACTAGAGGTCATCTAACCAAACCACCTCCTGAAAGCAGGGCTAACGTCAGAGTAACCAACACCTCCAGTTTCTTGCTCTGTGGAGGCAGAAACTCCCAGCTTTTACTGGGTTTTGAATTTAAAAAAGAGAAAGGAACTAGAAGCCAGTCTACCACTGGTGAGTCTGTAGATACCCTGCCCACTAGCTCCTATCTTGTGCCAGTCATGCTATAGGCCATTCAAAGCATGTAAGCAGATTATCTTTGGCCTAACAACAAACATCTGTATTCTAAATGTAGACTAGCAACTTGTTTTGAACTAAGAATTTAAATGCATTAATTAGTCACATATTTTGAAGGTATTATTTTCTTCAAACATGGAGAAAAATGTTGTTTTAACAAACTCCACTTAATCATTTAATGCAAAGCCTGTCAGCTTATTCAGGCTTTAGTGCATTAAGACGCAAAATCAGAGTAATTCATACCCAACATTCATCAGTTACATTTGTTAAAAAATAAGTAGAGGTGTTCATGAAGAAAAATTGTTAGTATTTTAAAGAGATTAAGTTTAATGTTTTTCATTTAAACCTAAAATGAATCACTCCTTTTATCAAACAAGAAAAAAAAAAGTCAACCTGCCCCCCTTCCTTATACCCCTTCAAGAAACTTTATTAGCCACATGCTTGATACAATTCTCAAATATTTGATTGTCTCACTACATCTTCCATCTGCAAATGAACAATGCATGACATCCCCCACCTAGATTAAGCACATACCTTGTCTTAGTAGAAGCTTGGGAAATGAAAGTTCCAGAATCCGAAAAAACTCTATCATTCCCACTACCCATTTAAGAATAAAATCAACTGAGCTAGAGAAAGTCAATCTTTTCAATTATATGCCATTACTCCTTGGAGAAAATGCACTACTATTATAACACGTTCCTCTTCACATGCTGTGAGAAGCCCTCCAGGTTTTTGGCAACAAGCAGTTTCTAGCTCATGTACCTGTGAAATGAGTTCCTCTGGAATGACTGATGCTGGAATCACAGGTTGCGGTTGACTCCCCAGCAGTCCAGATCCTCTATCACGTCCTGTGCGTATAACTCTGGTCTGCCTTCGAGAATCTCGAGCTCCAGCAGATGATCTACCAGAAGATCCTCCTCCACTTCCACCAACCCCTGAACTCCAGCGACTTCTAGAAAATTTAGATTATAATTTTTTTTTCTTAATATAGCAGCATACTTTGGGGACTCCTTCAAGAAGGAAGTCTTTAGTTTTACTATTAACTTGTAGACAGTCTCTGAAAAATACTGCAGATTGACTTCATAGACAAACACTATGAAAGCCTCTCTCAAAACTAGTAAGAACAAGAGCACCAGGCAATTGATAAAGTTCTGAATTACACAGAAGAAATATAAAACAGGACTCCAACGGAAGTTGCACTCTCCTCTATTCATATAATTGTGTGGCTTTATACATACATAAACACATGCATGCACCAATACCGAGTTTCTAAAAGCAACAGTATCAGCAGCATAATATTTAACACTCAGCTGTTAACTTCCTACTATAAAAGCACATTATGCAGCGGCTTCATGGTCAGTGAACTCTGACAGAAGATCACTATACTCAGATGGGTCTTCTAAAATTTCTGAGACTTGGTTTACATTAAGAAACTGCTTAAGATTACACTGGAAAAATCAAGTAAACTCCTTTACTGCAAAAGAAATCTTACACTAGATAGTTCTCCAATCCTCACAGATGGTTTTCAAGAGATACACTCTACTCTGGACGTATTCCCACTGGAGAAATCAACACCAACTGTATACATTGCAAAAACATGCCTAAACTGACTGAACAGTTTTTTCATTTCTAGGAGTCTGTATCAAAACAAGGGAGTAAAAAGGCAGTGATTTGTAGAAATAGACAACTCCCCATCGTTACAACTTTCCACTTATCTTAACACCACAGAACTGTGTCAACTGAATGTGGCTAAAAGACTCTGTTCTTAAAGGTTAACTAAACTTTGTTGTACAAATCTACCTTAAAGGCTATTGGATATGGTATTACTGCTATTTAATAATCAGTATAAGCAGAACATTGCTGCTCTCAACCACCCTAATCCTCAATCTCCTTTCAAGAAAAACATTTTAAATAAGACAAGAAGGAAAGGTATGTTCTCTGAAACAGTAATAAATTCCCATTAAAAGTATACCACATGTAGCTATAAAAGCTAATTAAGTACAAATACTGGTCATATTTTATGGCTTAAGTTGATTACTAACATCCGTCTCTCTTGTTGTTGTTTTTGTTTTCTTCCCCTCCTGACAAGACCATGCAGTCCCAGAATAACTCAAGCATCTGCCTAGGACGAGGCCCTGTCACAGAGACATCTACATTTTCAGGATTCTAGCCAGCGACCACAAAGACAACGACAAGACAAAAAGCAATTCAACGATGGCTTTAGGGAAAGTCTTGTCTCATAAGTTAGGAAAAAAAACCCAAAAACAAACCCAAAACAAAGAAGAATGTGACACTTTAAATAAAACGAACCAGTTGATCTGTTTCTAAAGGTGGGAAGGGGGCTGAGGGGAAAAGAAGGGGACTGATGGGAATTTGAATTCTTTATACACAAGAATTCTCAATTCAACTCTCAGCAGGGAAAATGTGGATTTAAGAAAAGGTTACTCATTAGATTTTAATACTTATTACAGATACATTTTCTACTTTAAGTTATAAACTACCAATGACAGAGTTAAGACATCTAACAGTTAAAACAATTTATATTCATATAATTCAAATATTGCAAGTGTGTCCTAACTTGGTCCTGTTCTAGAGAAAGAAAAAAATCATAAGGACACAGCTATTCCTATTAAAGCTGCCTAAACCTAGAATACATATTAATATAGAATGGAAATCTTTCTGCTCACCTACTAGTTCTCCACATCTCTCCACTGCTCACTAGCATGCTAGCAATTTTCTAAATCCAGTGATATAACCTAAGGGCTCCACAGTTTGAATGTTTTTAGATTCAGTTTATTAAGTTAGGTATTCCCTTCATTTAATAGAGCAGTTATAACATCTACTGCTATGCTACTAGTTCGGTTTCAACTACCTAGGTTCTGAAACATGCAAGGGAAGAAATCAGGAACTCTTGAGGGTCAGTCTCCTAAGCACATAGCTTCAAACAATTTTAACTGGTTATGCTCAGGTAAAAATAACAAGGAAAAAAAAAGTCTTACAGTTTCCACAGTAAGTTTTTAAACATGACTACCAGTTTGTCTTTAAAGTTTAACACATGGATTTTAAGTTCAGATGCACAAAGGTTTCACAAAAAGCTGGGGGGGGGAGGGGGGGCTATCTTTCATGCAACTAAACCCCAGATGAAATTAGCTTATTTGGTAACATAAATAACAAATTCAATTTCGTGGAAACCCTATAGTTCCTCCCTTTTAACAAATCATTCACATGCAGAAACCACAGTTTGTAAATGCAATTCTCTTTACTACAGTTGGTAACCTTAGGAAGCAGCACTGTTCAACATGTCTTACAAAAGCATATAACGAAGAATTCACTGTGATTATGTAATGAAGATTAATTTACGTTGCTATATAAAGGGACACCATCAATTTTAAAGCTCATGATAAAAAAATTGAATCTGTATAGTACATTTAGTATATAGTAAAATTTTTAAGGCTCTGAGCAACAATCTTTTTCAAATGTTCCCTACCTATTACTATGTATAAGACCCCAACTAACAAACTCTGCTCATTACTTGGGGTAGGGGAGAAGAAGGCACAATAAAACTGACCACACAAAGGTCTGCAAACATAGACAACGAAGATTCTTCCTGTACAAATGCACTCATTTTGTTTTATGCTGCTAGCCTATCAGGGTTTAAATTGATAGTGTCCCTCTAAAAAACTGCTTTTCAAAATCAAGGAACTAAAAAACGTTCAAAAAAAGACAACACAGCCAAAACCAGGTTATTCTTCACACAGACATGAAGAATGTTCCGTATCCTAGGTACTGAAGGGTCACTTGCAGATCTGTTATTTTAACGAAGTCAATAAAGTTTTTTTTATTATACCCTACCTACACAACTGCTGTAATTATACGTTCCCTTATACATACTGCATACAATTTATATATGTGTATACACATATACTCAAATATGGAACAAACAGATTGCAGCCTCAATCCTATCAAAACTTACCCAAGGGTGTTGCCTGCCAGTCTGCCCAGAGTTTCAGAACCAGACAGAAACCATGGGGAGTCACTAGTCCTGCCTGGCCTGGATGTCCTTCCTGCCCCTGAGCCACTGCTCAACTTTGAACTGAAAGTAAAAGATGGTAAATCAGTCACAAAACAATCCCAAATGGGTTAAGAACAAAACCTGGAATCCCAGGTCTAAATTCTCAGGGACTTAGTCTGGTAACATACCAGCTTAAGCAACACCCTTGGGGAATATTCCAAACTAATCTAACTGTATATTAAGAGGTACACTGGAAAAAGAAAGTGGAAAGCATGCCTAACAGATCTTATGCACATCAGCAATCCATAATAGCACAGTTGCAAATACATATTAAGCTAATTACTGATTTGAGTTAGCCACTGCGCTAAGTTTTCAGTTAGCGTATACATACAAATTGTAATCACCAGGTGTTCTATCCATAAACCTGAGCCTGCATATGCTACTTGGATATTAAGAAGTGGTTTATATTCAAATATGAACCATTAGATAGTCCTGTTAAGGGGGACTTACCTGGACTGAAGACACAAGGTCTAGAAAGTGAGCCTCTCCAGATGGGACCACTTTCAGAGTGGATTCTACATGAACCTTAACAATTTAACACAGTTTCTTTCATAAGGGTTATTTCTGGAGGGGTTTGTTTCTTGAAGTCAAAGAAATCCTGTCTCACTTCTTTTAGAATCACATCTGCTATTTATTCCTATACCAGTTTGTTGAGCTACGCTGTTTGGCTGCATCACCATAACCATTATGTATCTACTCAAAGTACCCATTCCAAAGGCAACCTAGTTTAAAAACAAACAAACAAAAACAAAACCAAAAAAGCAGCCAAGCTGCTTATCCAGTTCAAAAGAATGATGTAATATGAAGAAAAGCATTTCTTACCCGTCATTGTTATCAGGTTTACCCAATTCCAATCTGTCTGGTTGAACTGAAAAACCAATCCTGCAGACTCTACCATCCTGTATTTAAAATAAAAACACCAAATGTCCAAAATTGAAATGTAAGACAAGTCACAGAAGAAAATACAAACAAAAACAAGTTTTCAGTTACTGAAAAATGTTGATCAATTTGATGATAGAAAAGTTAAAATTAACTTTATGGTTTCAAGTTTGTTATCTGAGCAGATTTAAGTAATTTACCTCAAGAAGAAATGCAGCATGATTTGGTCCCACCACACACTGTTTAATAGTGGCTTGTTCCAATACATTCAAAGGGGGGTGGCTGAAAACACAAAGTGAGCATGTATAACATTTTTAAACTTTTAAAGTCTGAAAAAAATAAAAACCAAGAAGTATATAGAAGAAACAACGTGCAGTGACTGTTACCAGTATAAAAACATTCAAGAATGACTAAGTATGTGCATTAGTTGAAGCAACTATGATGTATTTTTGGTCATTAAGCACAGAAAATGCAGAACAAAACCTTGAAAGGTGATACAGTTTTCACTTAACTTGATCAGCAATAAACAACAGGGGTTATACTTCAAATTAAGGAATAATTTAATAAGGAGGGTATTCAATAACATAATTTATCATAACTGAAATCCTAATATTTTCTTCCTAATATAAGAACTGTGTTATCTGAAGCATTTCTGAACTATAGTGTTAGTAGTATTGAGGCTTTCTAAGACTGTATCTACAGTGTAATCATTTGCTTCTTATTGCTGTTACAAAAATTGTACTTTCCTAAATGATTTACAGCAGCATGTGATATGCCTTACCTGTTTAAATTATATTTGTTCAGCTTCTCTGAAACTTCTCTTAATCTGAAACAAAAAGAAATGAAGCTGTTGATTGAAAGATATCTTCCACAATACACAAACATCCACTTCAGCAGCGTATTTATGACGTTATCAGAACAACTTACCACTGCATTTCACGAAACTCGATATAAATACTACTCGGTGCTGGGAGTCTGTATAATAACCGAATGGTGTTCAGCTTCAAATCAGGTTTTTGTTTTGGAGAGTTTTTTGCTTTAGAGTTTTACCTTCACCTACTATCTTGCCACAAAACCTGTGTTTTCTTGCATTTCTGTGTGTTTTGCAAGTCACTATCAAAAAGCACTACTCCTGCCTTGTTACCACCACTTACAGCTTTACACACAAAATGTATGCAGATGAAGCAATGAGCATTAACTGTAGATATATTTGTGTTTCCTCAGATAAGCTTAAACACAGTATCCCAGAGCAGACAAGATTATAATTTTCTAGGAAATCCAAGTACGTGGCACATCAGAGCCAAAAATATGACAGTAAGTTCCCCAAACAGAAAAGACAGGAAAACAGATGCACAAAAGCCAGCGTCAAAAGGGACAAACAACAAACTTCTACTAAGAAGAAACAACCCAGAGAAAATTCACTACACACAGGGTTATATAAAACATCACCATCACTAAAACGGAAAGAATGCTTCCAACAGTACTTCCATTTCACTTTCATAGCACCTCACCAAATGGAAAATCAGAACCCAAAAAAGGGCCAACCCACAGACCTCTTCTGCTTAGAGTGTATGGTGTCCAAAAGTGGAAACCAACACAGTAATTTCTAAGGCAATTTTTAATCCACTTAGAAAAGATCCTCTTCAGGTAGCAAAGATACTCTCGTAATATCAGGAAGGCATTTCAGGTAAAACTTGGTCTCCTTTCCTCCCAAAGATGACAAGCAATCTGAAAAAGCCCCTGAATAGCTTCCAATTCTAGTTAGAACATTCACATTATATTAAGATACAAAACCAAGATGAATGCTGTAAAAATAATGCAAGGTCTTCCTAATTAAGAAAAAAAAAATACCAACTTTGGTACCATGCCCATCCTATCATTCCAGAAATTTCCTTCTTAATTCAGCAACACCTTTCTAAACCTAACAGAGACATGCACACCAGCACTGCTTTCCTCTGTCTGAATGTCTTTAAACCCTTTCTTTTTACTTGCTTCACTTCAGTTTCTACACGCAGACTGCTATGCATAACAGACTTCAGTTACTTGCAAACCCTAAGCGTGAGAAAGGATACAGAATAGCGGTCCAAACAGCCAAATCCTAATGTTATCAACAGTGTTTAACTTTAAAGCACTTGTCCTGAGGGGAAAAAAAAAGGAAAGAGAGATATACATCTGTTTGAGAAACAAGATAATTTATACTGATAGAAATAACTTCCAAGCACAAGAATAAAGGACCACAGTGAAAGGACAGCAGGAAGGAAGTGAACGTGCTTAGAATTGCCTTTTGCTAGCCAAGCCAAGCTGCTGGTTTGTAAAGCAGGCGATTTCACACTCCCAATTTCCAGCCACAACTACTTCACGCAAGCCGAGAGTACGTACATAGGTAAGGTTTCTGCGAAGACAACCCACAAAAGAGAAAGAGAACACAAAGTTCGCATGCAATCTGCGTGAAACGTACCCCACAAAAGTAAACGACTACGGGATAACATGGAAAGAACCCTGAAGACGAATGGCATATATTCCACAGCTTACCATACGGTTCCATAAAGCAAGCAGGGCTCTGCTGCATAATATATGACAAGTTAAATATCCCTGAAGTCTTATGTCTTCAGTATATCACCTAACCGTTTCCCACAGGAATACTGAGAAGTTTTCCATTAACATTTCTCCTCTTGGCAAGCATGAGTAATAATTATAGAATAGGAAAACCTACCTTTATGTTCACTGTACTGCCTACATGAAAAGCTGATGGCAAATAAAGTAGTGCTTTTTATTGGTGATAGTTACTAGACTAGTCTATGAGCAATATTTAAAACTTCCTTATCTGAGCGTTGTGTCACAAAACCTGAGCACTACCAAAGAAACAGACATTTTTCAACTTGTAAAAAAAAAATCATCATAACCCTTTCTTACTCATAAAAAAACCAATGAAGTGATAGGAAAGAAATATGCACAGAAAGCTATGACTTGCATACTCAGTGAATCTATTAGCAACACCAGTCTCAAGAGAGTACATCTAACTGGAACAAGAATAGGTCAAAAGAGGTCTAATGTTATTGAAAAGAGGCTGTTGTCAGCATTTAAGGGGAGGAGCAGAGAAGGGTGTAAGTGACAATGCTGAAAGTACTAAACTCTCCTACAGAAAAAAAAAAAAAAAAAAACTACCTCACTACTCAACCATCTTGTATGCAACTGCTGTAATAGCAAAATTACCAAGTACTGCCTCATAAGCTTAGAGATCCATGAGGACTTGAATTTGACGTAAAACACCACCGAGTGAAAAAGAAGTAGTTCCTGAGCGCCGCGTCCCTGCTGGGCTGCTGCTTTCATCCCCGCTCCCCCCCTTCCTTGTGCCGCCACCAGCATTCACGTGAACACCAGTCACAAAACTAAACCAGCAGAAAAACAAGAGTAAAGCGGACAGATGTGTTTGTATATTCTGTATGGAGAATATGTTTGTGCAAATAAAAACTCTAATTTCACAAAAACGTTTCCTGCAGCAATCTAAACCTTTCCACTTGCACAGTTGCATGGTATTGTACTGCTGATCCTCTGAAGTCAAAATACAAAATGCATATTTAAGATCAGGTTAATTTTAACAACACGATTCAGTAATTTCCACTGATGGTGCACTGGACGAAGAGGTACAGGCAGGGATGCTTTAATCAATTCTCACATTAAGGTCAACACTTCCACTGAGACCTTTCTGTGGTAAAACGAATCTCTGATATGAATGCCTAGATAGGCTAAGCTTTGAAAAATTCTCATTAAAGGCATTTACACTATTTCAAAGGACCAAGTTCAACGCAGCATATATTTTGTTCACAAACAGATTTCTGGGGAAATGCACTAGCTTGCCATACTTTTAGACAAAAAGTTTAGTGATGATGGCTCCTGTGTTAAGACCCACATTCTTTAAATGTCCCTATCAAAATTCATCCAGAAACAGTTGTGAGGAAAACAAAAAGTCCATTTGTCCAAGATACTACTTCTCTCAAAGTACATTTCTATTTCCAGTGAATTTTATCTGAGGACCCATCCTTCCACCACACCTTGCTTTATAAAACCAAGTTAGGCTCAAAAATGCAAGAGAGCTACAGAGAAACTCCATTTCAAGTACCAAGTATTTTATAGAAAAACTGGTACAGTATGTTAAAGTAACTTTACCCTATTTAAACACGAGCTTAAATCCATGTAAGTAAAATTCTGGTTTACAATTTGTGCTTTTACCCAATTTGTAAGAATAAAAATATTCTGTTTTAAAGTAGGAAGGTAATCCTGAGAATTATTTTTATTTAAAGACATTCTAGACTCCTGTAATACATGTTCACCACGCTCAGTTCCCTGCAGCAGTCTGTCAGCTGCAGTCCTACCTTGCCAGTCATCCTGCAGGAATATCCACTGTTCAAGTATTTCCATCATGCCAACAACAGTTCACAGACCAACAAACAAACCATAAGACACAAGCAGAACTTTCTTACCAGGTTTTAGAATAGTTCAATGAATGCATGGTCATCCTTCTCCCCGTGTGTTAGGAAACTAACAGTTACAAAAATAAAGAAAAACAAAAAAACCCCAAAAAAGCCCCAACACACCTACATCATCTACGCTTAGTGAACATCTGCAAGACCTTCTCAAGCAGACAAGTAACATGAAAAGCATAGTGCACTGTAAACAGAAATCTCATGTAGCAAGATTTACATAATTTTCCCCTCAAAAACTTTCTTGATGTTGAACAGAAACAGTATTTACAAGTCCTCATATCTAACCTGACATTTTGCAGCAGTGGTCAAATAACAGTACATGTAACACATTTATTTATAACCATTAAAACAATTTCTGCCATCTCAGAGATTAATTTCTGTAACGATATAAAACAATCTATTTTTCCTTTTTCTCTGCAACTTTAGACTAAATTTTTAAATGTCAGCTAGGTCTTTAGAGAACACACCATAAAAATCACTGAAGTTAAGCAATCCAAACAAAGGATTCAACTACAGAGATACAAAATAAAATGCTTGCATGCTGCACATCTCCAAAAGGAAGGAAGTCTTTCTGTACTCAGCAGGTGACACTACAGAGTCCCAGACACAATATTCAGAAGATTCACTTGGATTTTTCCTGAAGTTGCTCCTTTATGGCCTTAAAAAGTTATTTGTACACTTTAAAGTTAAAATATCAGGCAGAGGCCCCAACACAAGAGCTTTTCTTACCTCAGCACCACATGGTGATGTTAAGAGCTGCAGAGGAGGAAAAGGAAAGGTACATTTAAGAAAAAAAAAAAAAAAAAAAAAACACCACCAGCTTGGTATGACGAACAACTTCAAGTAGGGAAATGAAAAATAAAACTAATTTAGCCCTGGTAAATTTTTCTAAGTGATCAGGCTTCTTTAAGACAACTTAAGATGACAATGAAGTCTGTAAGCTAACAAACTTAGAAGACTTTCACACCAGAGCAGAAAGAAGTATACGAGAACCGATAGAATGCTTTTCCAAGGCAAGGCTAACAGTAAGTAGATACCCAAGAGGGGCGAAAAAAAACAGTTCAAGCACTGGAAAACAGTATTGAGTAACATACCTATCAACAGTTGAAATGTAAATGCAATCTTCACCTCCATCCCTCAGTTGAAACCCTGAAGTGTTCTCAGCACAGCAAGCCAGACCCAAGGAGGCAGCTACGTGGCCAATTCATGAGTTCAGCCCAGCAGAGCCGCACAGCCTCCAGACCAAAGCCCTCTCACACCTATCTTGAATCACATGGAAATAAACTCCTGTCTATTGGTGTCATAAGAACAGAGTCTCAGAAATGCAGAAAACGGATGCCAATGAGAAGCTTAAGCAAATATGTTATCTTTGTTTCCTGATCCCGGGATGTCTTGGACACGGGACACTGTCATTGATGTAAAGTCACATCCAGCTATCTTCCATGCCAAAATACAGCACACAAAAGGATCTCACCCCTGACTGCCATGTCCTACACTAGAAAGCAGTTTCCAAAGAGGCAGCATTCCATAGTTCCTGTACCAAACACCTTTCTCCTAATGGAATAAATTAAGAAATAAAGGTGAAAAAACTGTTTTCCACCAATGAGCAGGAAGAAAGGGTAGGGAGATGGGGAGAAGATGATTAAAGTGTGCTTTAAGTCATTCTGGGTAGTTACGAAGGAGCATCTGTTAAAAAAAAAACTGAAGTACCACACAAAATAGTGCAACAAGATTATCTGCAGAAAATAGGAAGTAATGCACATAAGAAAAAATAAATCCCAAGTGCAAGTACAAAATGACAGCCTCCAAGGTAGCCAATACTACTCAGCAGTGGGGTGGGACCATATGTTTAGACTAGAATACACAGATCACCAAAACAAACAAGATGACAAAGAAAGTCATTGCTCCACTCAGCCCGTAATCAGGTGTACCACGGCTTACACTGTGTCCTCTCCCCATTCCAAGAAATATAAATTAGGACTACTTGGTTATTACATACTAAACCAACACCTACTGCTCAGGAAACCCCTGAGCTGCAAATCCTTAGATGCTGGAAAAGCACCACTGTACATTTGCCCTATTCTAACACTCTTCCCCTGTCATCTAGCACTGGTCACTTCCACAAACTGGAAGAAAACATGAAGGACCTCTTGTTTGACTGTAACAGCTATTCTTATGTTCCATGGTATCAACTAACATGGGTTTACAGAATATGGCTCCCAAACTTTATTTTCTATTTCGTAAGACTGTCGGTTTGGTTGATAAATTTAGTTCTGATCATTTAATAGTCCTCTCTGGAACAATGGTAACACACTGTGCTGAATCAGTAAGTTATAGTAGAAAGCTAATATGGCAAACATCGAATTAATCTCTTGAAAACAGTTTTCTGCAATATCACTGAAAAGTCTTCAGGTAATACAACGATTACAGAAAGTAAATTCCCTTACAGCAGACCATTATTATTTCATGATATGACAACACTGATATAGATAATGACCTATATCTAAAGTTAGGTATAAGCTAGCCCACAACAAGGTTAAAGCAGGACAAGAAAAACTGGCAAAGACAATATAGTGCCAACGACATCAAAAGGTTAAAGATACCCACACCAATATCTAATATTCAGAATTAAACACATACTGCAGAGGCAGTAAAATGACTTGCCCATCTTCTTCACCCTACAGAGAGGATAAGCATATATTTCAGTTCTGGTTTTAGGAAAGCAAAGTAGATTTCTTATCATTATATAGGAGAACAACAGGAAAGCAGGGGATATTGTCTGCCTAAACTTTAGTAAGGCTTTTGACACTGTGTCCTGTTAATATCCTTACAGAGAAGCTCATAGATATATCCATACAGAGAAGTATGGATGCACAAGCAGACAGTGAGGTGAACTGAAAACTGTCTG